CTGAGCAGGCAGGAAGCCATATCCCATAACCCCCCACTGCCACGATGGGCGCTAAGTGGCTCCCTTGTGGACCGTTTCAGCAGAGAGGCCGAGGACTGGCTGACTGGAACCAAACAGTCCTCTTGTCCCCCTCGGGGCTCGGGAGGTTGGCAGGCTGGTCCAGAACCCTGCCCATAAGAGCTGCCAGGCTGGGTCAGACCAAGGCTCTGTCAGTGCCAGGTGCCCCAGAGGGGCTGTCACATTACTGAATTGGAGGGAAGCAGCCAGATCGCTGCTGCACCCCTAGGTGGGGGTGTTGGCCCCAGAAATTGGTATAAAAGGGAGCCATGTGGGGTATTGAATGGGAGCTTATTGTTTGTTGATCTTATGTACGCTATTTATGTGAGTGTATAATGTCTGTGTGTGTAGGTAGGAATCTGTAATCTGTGTGGAAGCTGAATATTTCTCTGAATGTGGTTAAGCATTGCTATGGACAGGCTGAGTAGCAAAGCCCTGTGGAACAATGGCTCTCAATAGGCTATGGACACACCCAAAGAATGGGATTTGTCACCTGAGGGCAGCCAGCAGGAAATATAGAGATTGGCCTCTGACCAGGTGACTTGCTGCATACAAGAAGAGGCCAGGAAGGAGTATAAAGAGGCCATGTGGTCGATGCCATTTTGTTCTCAGCTCAGCACTTCATCCCAGAGGCAGCACTGCAGGGATTGAAGAGCCCGGAAGACCTGTGAACCCATCCTGATCGTAGGATGTGCAATAAGAACTTTTAAACCAGCAGCTGCAACATCTCTGCTAGAGCCTGCATCGAGAACTGGGAGATTCGGTGCATGTAACGTACTGTACTTTAATAACCTTACTCTCAGGCTTTTCTTTCTTGTAATAATAAACCTTTAGATATAGATTCTAAAGGATTGGCCCAGCGTGATTTGTGGGTAAGGTCCAGAGGGTAAATTGACCAGGGATCTGTGGCTGGTTTCTTGGAACCGGACAGAACTTGTTCGGGGTAGGTGGGATTGGGTGCTAGGACCCCCCACCTGTATATGAGGCCCGGGGCCATCTGGGGCACGGATATTGCTGGGGTGTCGGAGGGGTTTTGCTCAGGAGGCTTCAGGCGGGTTGCTGAAGCGCTCTGTGGGACTGGTTTGTGGCCTGTGTGGAGAGGTCACCAGTCGGGGGCTGTAAGGAGCCCCGGATTCGAGCAATTCACCCTGAGCGGACGCCCTCAGCTGTGCCCAGAAACGGCCCGGTCCGTCACAGGGGCATGGAGAAATGATCACATGGTAATACCTGTTGTCTGGTCCTGGCTTCTGGCCATTAAAGGACACTCAAAGCACAGGCTTGCTGTCCTGACACCCTGGCTAATTGCCATTGAAGGACCTGTCTTCCGCGAACTCAGCAGTGTAAGTCACTTGCCGTGTCTGCCAGATGCTTTCCTATCGCAACCTGGGTCCCTGCTGGCTCTGTCACTAGTCCCCGGATGGCTTTTGCCTCAGCTCGGCCAGCTCTTGCCGAAGCTGCACACCTGGGTGTCCCCACTTCTGTCACCTCTGCATGAACGTATCTAGTGCGGGATGCGGGGGTTGAGCCAGTGGTAGTTTTGGCCTTTACAACATCCTCAGGCAGAAAGTTCCACAAGCTGACGGGGCCCGGTGTGAGGGACTTCTTAGCATTTGTGTTAATCCCACTGCCTCTTACTTGAATCAGGGGATCCCTGGTTCTTGTGTTGTGAAAGGGCAACACCAGTCATTATTTTATAGCTCTTTGTCATAGCCACCGTCATTTTTCTTCCATGCTGAAACGTCCCAGTCTTATTCCTCTCTCCTCGTATGGAAGCTGTTCACACCCCAAATCATTTTTGTTGCCCTTCTCAGGAGTGTTTCCAATTCTAAAACAGATGGAGCCTCTCTAATCCGGCACTCGCTGGTCCAGCAACACCGTGGTCCGGCATGAGTTTAGTTCGCCAGACGTCCACTTATCATGGGTGTGGCCAACCGCAGTCCCAGAAAGTTTGTTTGCAGCCCCCAGCCCTGGCTCGCAGTGTTCTGTGCTGCTGTTTAGCTCTAATTTACCCTGAAATGTCTTCTAAGAGCCCAGTGAGCAGTGGAGGTGATGGCGATGCTGCTAGACAATATTGACCTCCCATGGGCCAGCAAATTCTCTAGTTTAGCAACGATCAGGTCCTGAGGGTGCCAGACTAGAGAGATTCAATCCGTATTCAATGTTCTGAGATGGGACAGCCAGCCCAGCACTGCACATAGTATTCAAGATGTGGACTTACCATGGATTTATACAGCTGCATTACGATATTGTCTGTCTTATGTCTCCCTTCCCTAACAGTTCCTAACATTGCTAGCTTTTTGGACCGCCGCTTTACAGGAAGCAGATGTTGTCAGAGAACAATGCACAATGACTCCAAGATTTTTGAGTGGTAACAGCTAATTCAGATCCATCCTTTTTATAGAGAGTTGGGATTATGTTTTCTGATGTGCATTACTTTTGTATTTATCAGCTTGGAAGTTCATTTTCCATTTATATGTCCAGTCACCCTGTTCTGTGGGATCCCTTTGTAACATTTCACAGGTAGCTTTGGCCTTAGCCGTTTTGAGTCATTTTGTATCATTTGCAAATTTCCCCACTTCACTATTTACCCCTTTTTCTGGATAATTTATGAGTATGTTGAACAGCACTAGTCCCAGGACAAATCCTTGAGGGGCACCACTATTTACCCCTATCCGCTCTCAAAACTGACCATTTATGCCTGCCTTTTTGTTTCCTGTCTTTTAACCAATTCCTGATCCATACACCCTGTTGTGCTTCTCCCAGTTTGGCTTGGCTTTAGGACGTGATGCTGACACTGTTCAGGAGCCAAACACAGTCTGTTTGGGGAGATCATAAAAAAGACCCTCTAAGCAACAAGAACGTGGCAGGAAAAAAACTCAGCTCGTCTGAAAACCAGGCCACTCACATAGGTGCCTAAGTGGGACTTGCATTTGGAATTATTGGCTGTAGTCTGGAAGCCTTTTGGACGGTACCTTGCTGGTTGCTATGCTGAGCAGTGGGTTTTGAGTGACCTCCACTGGCTGCTGTCTGCAGCATGGCCCAGCAGGGCAGGGGATGAGTCATTATGCAAGGGGGCTTTGAACCTGTCTGACCAATTCTCTCCCAGGGAGCAGAACAATGGGAAGAAGGGGAGTGGAGCCCTGGCTGGGGGCAGGGCTGGAAGTGAGTTAGTTAGGTTTCTGGCTGGTATCATGGGGGCAGCAGCCTAGGCAACAGGCTGGGATTTAGGGGCCCAGGCTCCCCCATCTCAAGGGGGGCTGAGGCATCCTAGGCCTGCCCTGTAACCAGATTACATCTGTGCTTTATCCTGGAGAAGCAATAAACTCCCTCTATTCTCCTGGCTGGTGGAGTCTGTTCGTGCCACTACGGGGGTGCAGGAGACGGGAAAACCCCAACGCGCCGTCACAACCAGGGCTGTGGACTCCTTTGCCTTCTGCAACGGGTGAGGCACAGCTGTGAAGCTGGAGACATAACACAGGACTCTCTCTTACCTGTTTCTTGCACTCCTGGTCGCAGTTTGCACACTGAACATCCTCCTCGCACTCTGCAGAGCTGTCCACCAGGAACTTCAGGAGCCGGTCCACAGGCGGCAGCCCGTTGTTTCCTTTCACTATGGACTGGTGGCTGAGGGGACAGAACAGACAGGGCAGGCAAGTATCGCTCTGCATTCCAACCAGCAAATGTTAACGGGAAACCACCCTCTGGGGCTGGCGTGACAAGCTACCGCCCGACTCTTCCTGGCCTCTGCTATTGGAAGCAGACTTTGGTTCAGAACTTTGTGTTTTCATCAGCGCTGCATTCTGTCTTGCTGCATGTTCCCATTTGCTGCAAGCATTCTCGTTAAGCTGCAGCATTGAACCATCTTAATGCAATGCCCTGCCTGCAGCCCAGGCTGGTCCCCCAAAGAGCATGCTGAACTCTCTGAAGGTTCGTCAGCATGTCTGCGTGCTAGTGGGGCAGACTTTGGTTCAGAACTTTGTGTTTTCATCAGCGCTGCATTCTGTCTTGCTGCATGTTCCCATTTGCTGCAAGCATTCTCGTTAAGCTGCAGCATTGAACCATCTTAATGCAATGCCCTGCCTGCAGCCCAGGCTGGTCCCCCAAAGAGCATGCTGAACTCTCTGAAGGTTCGTCAGCATGTCTGCGTGCTAGTGGGTGGGATCCCGCACACGGTGGTTCGGCTCCTAGGAGGTTACTGCGTGGGGTGCACAGAGAAAGGCCGTTTAAATATCTCATTTGCAAATAAACAGCCTGAGCTCCAGGGACTTTCTCATCAAAACTTTGCGTGATTTGTTCCACAGGCTCCTGCCAGAGTAATTCCAGTCTTGGGAGAGCCGTGCTTGATGAATTTCAGGGGTGTAAAATCCTCGCCTGTTCCCCCCTTGCAGCGTAAACAGGAAAGTACTAATCTTTAAATCCAATTTGCCCATCTGCATGTGGCTCTGCCCACGGGCGGTGTGCAGTGTGCACACATGGCGAGGGGCTGGCTGCTCGTGTCGGAAATGCTCCGACTTGCCTTTAACTTCCACAAGTCTTGTGGCACGTGCTTAGCGCTGGACATTGCTGCCCAGATTCCCTTCACCACAGAGAGCCTCTAATTGCAGAGATGAAGGAGCAGGCCATACAGTCCCACAGAGCATAGCCCAGAAGGGAAATATTAGTAACATCAAAATAAGCCAAGAGGGGACTTCTTCAGGAAGGAGCTTTAACCAACGGGCAGCAGGTGACCACGGAAGCCCCTCCCCTAACAACCCTCCAAACAGCTTCCCAAAATAGCAGTAAACAGAATTCCGAGAGGACGGAAATTGCCCAAAGCCCTGCATTAAAGCCCTCGGACAGTGCCGAAGTCCCGGCACCCAGACATACGGATGCTTTGTTGGAGCCCTAAAAAGCAAGAGTGCAACATTCAAAGTTAGTGAAATCCTTCCAGGGTGGGTGACTGCAGGATCAGGTCAGAGAAGCTGTTTTAAGAATCCAGGCGCCTTCTCGCAGCTCACCTGGCCCTGACCACACTGGCTTGCTTTAGCAACACCGCTAAAAAACCAGAGGCTTGTTGATTAAGATCCTAGCAGTGCTGCCCCTGAGAAACGTCACTCACAGTTGAGCTCAGACTGCAGCTCCCCGTCAGTGCTAGAGAAAGGAGTCACGCCCTTACTTATGTTCCTCCGTTTCCTTTAAGAGCATCGTGGAAATCGTTACTGCCGCCACTGTGACGCTTCCCATCAAACCCAGAACGCAAACAGTATGACACCAGCGCAACCGGACACCGCACTGCGGCCCCGCCAGCCCTTGCGGGAGAGTGTGCCTCCACGTGCAGGTTCTCAGAGATGGCAGGAACTTCGACGTCTCCTCCCCTGGACAATGAGCACGTTGAGTTGGATTGAAATGATGATTCACCCACCAGTCACCTGGGAGAGATTGGGTTTCATAGCGCCAGTCTGCATCTCCCTGTGCTGTGGCCCTGCCAGCAAACTAATCATGGAGCTAGAGGCCTGGGTGCAGCTGGCTGGGCTTCATAAAACATGGCCACTTGCTGACCAAGGGGTGCAGTGCGTACGCCGAGAATCAAAGGAGCTAGAGCTGGGGAAGACTTGTTAGCCTGGGAGTGTTTTGCACTGCGCCAGGCTGGTGTCTCTTAAGATTCTGGCACGGCAAGGTGGTATGTTATGGGGAGAGATGTGCTGGACCAATACCAGCTGGATAATTCATCTCCCTGGCACTTGGTTTGTTTTCCTTGCTGCAGGGCGGAACTGGATACGGGGGCATCTTGCACAGCCTGCTGGGCTCTGCAGCCCTCGGTGTGCTGGGCACCCCAGATGCCGGTTTAAAATGAAATGCACCCAAGCAGGCAGCCCGGAAAACAAAGGCAGCAAATGGTTGGTCTGGGTCAGAGCCACAGATACGCTGCTTCTCTGAGCAGCTGCATCGGATTCTTGGGGGGACCCAACCACCGTTCCAGAGCTGTCTGGGGGTACCTCCCAAGTGACTCTCCCAGCAGCTAGGGGCCACAGCGAGGAGGACATTGTGGACGATGAGCAGGCAAGCGGAGGATCCGATCTCACTGACAGCCAGGACCTTTGTCTAACTTTGGAGCCAGTCGCCTCCCTGGGCTTATTGCTGCTGAATCCTGCGGGTGGGGAGGGCACTTCTGGTGAGTTCCCATTGGCAGTCCAGGGAGGGTGGGTAACTGTAATTGGGTTTGATCCCAGTTGCTCTACCCTGAGGGGTGGCGGCCACTCTGCCTGCACTGTGAGATGCACCGAGGAGGAGAGGGGAGCATGCAGGGAACACGTGTGTAAGGAGCAGGATGACATGCTGAGGCTCGAGGGGGAGGGGCAAACAGAGCTGATGAGGCGCCTGGTAGAGGTGCAGGAAAAGCATCTGGAGCACAGAGTCCCACCACCTGCCCTCCTCACCCATTTCCATGGCCTCCTCTCCCCGGCACCCTCGATTGCACGGGGGACGGGGGGAATCATGGGTAGCTGCTCACTCAGCTCCCAGGGATGCCTCCTGGAGCAGAAGGCTGCTACTCCATCTGCTTTGACTGCTACACTGGGGGTCTGTAATAAGCCGCTTGCCCTTCCCCCCTTCCCCCTGCCCCATCGGAGCTCGTGCCCTGAACGCCTTTTCTGCGTCCATTCCCTGAGTTTCCCAAATAAAAATGCACCATTTCAGAACAACGTCACATCGCTGCCTGGTCATCCATGAAACTGGTTTTCAGAGCCTCTCTGATTCACATTGCCCCTCAAGATGCTCTTTTTGCTGATCTGATGTCTGGCAGCTCATAATTAGCCACTAGGCAATCTACCTCAACACCCCCACCCCCCACTTGCACAGATATTATAGAGCACACAGCAGGCAGCAACAACATTGGGCATGTTGCCTTGCTGAAGTCTAACTGTGACGACGCGTTGGGGTTCCCCCGCCTCCTGCACCCCCGTAGCGGCACGAACAGACTCCACCAGCCAGTAGAACAGAGGGAGTTTATTCCTTCTCCAGGATACAGCACAGATGTGATCTGGTTCCAGGACAGGCCTAGGATGCCTCAGCCCCCCCGGGCTTCTAAACCCCCAGCCTGTTGCTTAGGCTGCTTCCTCCATGCTCCCAGACAGAAACTAACTAACTCTCCTCCAGCCCTGCCCCCCAGCCAGGGCAGCATCCACCTTCCTTTGTTTCTCTCCCTGGGGGGTAGCTGGTCAGACAAGTTGAGAGACCCTCTTTGCATAATGACTCATCCCTTGTTTTGCTGGGCCGTGGTACCACAGAGCCAGCATAGAAAGCAGCCAGGTACCCCCACTACGTCACAGTTCTCCCCCCTCCGAGAGCGAACTGAGCAGGGTCACTCCGCTCGTGACCTAGGGAAGTTCGGGTCCTCTGCGTGGGAACCCGCCCTGGGGACATGGGTGCTCCCCTTGACTCGGGCCGGCCGTGGCGAGGCCCCACATGAATTGGCTTCCCTCTGTCCACTCGCCGCCCCGCTCCAGGGCGACTGGCACAGGCCTGTCCTCGGGGGTCACACTCACCCTTCCGCTAGCCTTGATCTCTGGCCAGGGTCTCTCGGGCCGGGGCCATGAGCCCAGTGAGCCTTCTCTGGACAGCCAGGGCAGCTTCCACCCCCGATGCTCCATCCAGGGAGGTCTTCCCCTCCCATAACTCTCTCAGCGAGCCCAGAGGCTCCTCTATACGGGGTAGGGGCCCCCAAGCCACTTTCCTCCTGTCTTGGGCCTTCCCGCCCCTCTGGCAGGAGTCACAGGACCGGCAGTACCGCTGCACGGCTGTAAAGATTCCCGGCCAATAGAAGTGCTGGAGCAGCTTCAGCCGGGTGCTCCGGATCCCCCGGTGGCCCCCAACGGGGACATCGTGGGCCAAATACAGCAGCTTGAGGCGATACTTTCGGGGGACGACCAGCTGCCGCTGGACCCCCCATGCCCTCACCTTCCTGGGGGGAAGCCATTCCCTGAACAGGAATCCCTGCTCCCACAGGAATCTCTCCTGGCCACCTCCCCCCAGGGGCTGAGCTGCACGGAGGCCAGCCTGGTCCCTCAGCCTCTGCAAGGAGGGGTCTGCCTGCACCTCAGCCTGGAATTCAGCTGCTGAGGCAGGGATCGGGACATGTTCCCCACCTTTACCTAAGTCCGGAGTCCCAGCCTGGCTGGACCCCGTGTCCACTGTGATGGGATCCTGAGGACTCTGCCGGGAGTCCTTCCCTGGACCCAGGTTGCCAGCCCCCCGCTGGCTCTGGCTCTGGGCAGTGACTAGAGCCCGCTGGGATTCATGGGGCCACTCCTCTAGGTCATTCCCCATCAGCACCTCGGTGGGCAAGTGCGGGTGCACCCCCACTTCCTTGAGACCTTCCTTGGCCCCCCATTTCAGATGCACCCTGGCTACAGGCACCTTAAATGGGGACCCGTCTATGCCCTTCAGGGTCAGCTGCGTGTGGGGTAGTATCCGCTCTGGGGCCACTATGTCGGATCGGGCCAGAGTCACCTCAGGTCATTCCCCATCAGCACCTCGGTGGGCAAGTGCGGGTGCACCCCCACTTCCTTGAGACCTTCCTTGGCCCCCCATTTCAGATGCACCCTGGCTACAGGCACCTTAAATGGGGACCCGTCTATGCCCTTCAG